GGATAGCCAGTTAAGAATTGCTTCTTTGTTTGCTACAGTTCCATGGGACTCATGAATGGAAGCGTCTTTGACTATCAGGGCCAGGGATCAGAGACCCGTCCCTTGGGTAAGAGCCATAGAAGTTGGGGTGCAGACTTGTGCACAAGCTCCTTCCAGGAGGACACTGGCAACTTGTGGTGGATTAGAGGGAGAAGGTGAGAGAGGCATCCTCGCGTTTCCTTGGTCTTTGGGGAGGATCACAGCCAACCCCTAGTGCCTGCTAAATTAGAAGTCTGGCCTGGAGGCAGCAGCTTTCAAAGTATGCAGGTAAACCTCCTTCATGGAAAGACTGGAAGATGGGAGGTTTTGCCTGCTCCCTCTGTGCTAAGTCCTGTGGGGATAGATGTGGTGATTGCGGTGTGCCCCGTAGGAATTGCTTCTGTGTTTGCTATAGTCCTGTGGGTCTCATAGTCATAAGCTTTATTGGTTTTCAGAGCTAGGTGTTTGGCACCCAGTCTTTACAGTTGGGGTGCTAGATGTAGGGTCCAAAGCCTTCGCCCTTCTGGGAGAAGCTGTGAGTTGGGGGTTCCATCCTGATTGTATGGCACAGTGCCAGGAGTAGGGTTTATGGCAAGAGTGTGTCTCAGCCTTTCCTACCCATTTTGATGTAGGTATTTTCTTATTCATCTGATATGTAGGAGTCATTCAGCTAGTTTTTGGATCTCTATCAGGGGGCACTGCCCCCTGTGTAGCTGTAGGTTTGGTGCATCTGTGAGGGCAGGGAGCTCAGGAGCCTCCTATGTCACCATCTTGGATGACTCCTCTCCACCATTCTTGTAGAATGCTTTCCCGGCTTCATGGTGAGAAGGGAGGTTTGGGGATGAAGGAAAGAGTTGTCATTCTTTCAAACAGCACTTAATGAGTACCTACTATATCCTAGGCATCCTGGGCACTAGAGGTTATAAGGACAAAATAGGTACAAACCTTGCACCAACAAAGCTCTGAATTTTAGTGAAGAGACAGGGAAACAATACTTCAGTGTGATGAATGTATAACAGAAGCATTTACAGTTGTCTGAGAGCTTCAAGGAGGTAGTGGGGTGGGCAGATGGTTTCATGCAAGTGACATATGATCTGGGTCTTGAAGGTTGAGTAGGAGCTTGGCAGGCAGGGATGGGTACGCTCCCTTTAGACACTATAGATTTGTTACTCAGTGAGAGCAGTCACTGCTCCCAAACTACTTTGATCAGCTACTGCCACTGAAAATGATTTCCTCTGTGGCTTTGGATAATGCCATTAAAAATCCAGAAGTCTCAGTTTTCCTTCCAGTTGAATAGGGAGAATAACATCTACTCCTTGGAACCACTGGGAAAATTAATCAATTTATGTGGTTTGCAAGATCAAGTGTTTACTTATTAGAAAGCCTCCAGAGGGGATATATGGAAGGAGACAGAACATGGGGAGGAGAACAAGCAGGCAAGAACAAGGGGAAGCAAATAGGGCTGGATTCTCATTAGCCTATGATGGATTGATCTTCTGTCACCTATTTCCCAAACTCCCAGCAGTTTCAACCTAAAGCTTGCTCAATATTTTAAAATCAATTTAAAACCAATTTTTGAGTTTGCTTTTTTTAAAGAAAAATATTGCATTAATCAAAAAATGCATTAAGTTTAGGGTCAAGCAGCCTAACTGATGAAAAAAAGCCTGACTGGGCCCCAGGAGACATGGGCTTGCTTGGCTGGATAATGTAATATTAAAGACTAGAAACCACTCAGCTTTCAAGGGAGAACAGTGGAGAGCAGGCACAAATACTGAAAGGAGAAACCTTACAGGTGAATTGAATTGAAAGGAAATGTGAAGAGGGTTAATGAGGGTACTTTGTTAGTACAAACAAAATCCAGACACGAGGCTGCATCCAAAGCCTTCAGTTCCAAGAGGGGGCCTGCAATTAGATTTTATTGTCAGATGTGTAGAGAGTCCTCCTTTCAAAGATTTCGTATCAGTGGAATTGCAGAGGTCATCTGCTTTTTGAGAGAAATAGAGGGAACAGACAACAAATTGGTCCTACTAAAATAAAAGTCCTTTCTCTTACTGAATGGAATTGGTCTTTTAGTTTGATGAAATAGGACAGGACTTTCCATGTCCAAGAGTAGCTATGATTGAAATCAGGAGGCTTTGGAGACTTGGTAAATCAGATCATAGAGAATTCACTGGTTATTCTGTATTCTTTACCCTCCTCTGGCCTGCACCTGGAAGGCTGACTCCCCAAGGCTGTGTTGCTAGGACCCCTCGAGGTTCGCTTTTGGTTGGATGTGGAGACATCAGCAAGAGATCGGAGGGTGGGAGAGGGAAGTGGAGATGTCCATCTTCATTCCCTTCCTGCTTGGGGCCCACTTCTGGCAATGTTGGACCCTCTGTGGTTATACTGGCTGTCAAGAGGCCCCACTTCCATGGCTCCAGCCCCCAGGGTTATTCCCTGTGTGACACCATTTCCTTCTTTTGTCCCTTCAGGCCTCGGGCGGTCATGGCTCCCCACTGACGGTGCCCTTGGAGGCCCTCCATGTTGTTTGGGTTCTTGCGACTCTTCCCCACCGCTGTAGGTCATCCGTGACCTTTTAGTTAAAATCTCTTCATGTGCACATTTGAGTTGGATTCTTTTTCCTGTAGGACCCTAATAAATCAGAGATGTAGGGGAAAAGGGCAGCAAAACCCCAAGAAGTTGCCTTCTGTTCTCAGGCAACAGTGGATAGACAGACTCTTCCAGCTCGGTTGGTCAATTTGTTTTGTTTCATACCCATAAGAGGGGTATGAGGTTGGTCCAGCAGCTTGAGCAAGGAAGGAAGGACCCTCGTTTCAGGGAGGTCTTATGGAGGGCCACCTCTTCCTGAATTCTTTCTGGGATAACTGTCCTGAATTAACTATTCTTTTTCTCAATTCCTATCATACTGATTGTGCAGCCCTTGTGGCATCTAATAAAGTAGCATAAAGTCTGTGAGAGCAGGTACTTTATCCCCAGAGCCTAGAACAAAGCCTAATGGATTATAGGTGTTTAACACATATTTGATGCATGAATGAAATAATGTCTTTTTCTTTATAGATGTAACGATCGCTCAACAAACATCTATTAAATATCTGTGCACCAGATAAGATATTTGCCTCTGTATCTTTGTCCATGCAGTATTTTCTGCTGGGATGTTCTTTATCATCCTTAACCCACTGTCCTTTTGACAAACTCTGATCTACCTTCCATGACTTTTCTGGGGAAGCATTATACAAAGCTATAGATTTCCTAAACTTCGTTTTAGCATATCAATATTATTATATATTTTCCTTTAAGTCTCCCCTATGACTCCTTTATGTGACTCTGAGGAAAAATATATTTATCTGCAGGGGCGCTTGGGTGATGCAGTGGGTTAAATGTTTGACTCCTGATTTGGCTCAGGTCACGATGTCATGGTCATCGGATCGAACCCTGTGTCAGGCTCTGTGCTCAGTGAGGAGTCTGCTTGAGATTCTCTCTCTTCCTCTGCCCCTGGCCCTGCTCACTCTTTCCCTAAAATAAATAAATAAATCTTAAAAAAAAAATACTTACCTGCAGTTTTCCAGCAGAATGTCTGGTGGATACAAATACCTGATTTCATGTTCGCTAATTGGTAGTCTTTGCAGACACAGGCCCCTGGGTCCTGGTCATCTATGCTTAAGGCCAGCTCTAACTTTCTTTCTCCCACTTTCCTGAGTTGAACATTAAGGTTTGAATGGCTTTAAAAAATTCTGGGGGGTTACCTCAATCTTTAACACCATGGTTGGTTAGTTCTTCTTGAATGGAAGCCTTTGTCCATGTTTGTGGTCATAAGAGCATATGGATGTAAGTTGCTAGACCAACTCCATTTCTTGGTGTCTTGGTCTAGTCTAGCTCTTCTGGGCTACAGGGGTGCTGAGGCGGGGGTGTCTCAGGGATAATCTTCCTGACATCAGTATGCAGTGAGCTCATATTTGAACGCCCCTGGGCTAAAATAAAATCACCAGAAAGAGTATTTGCTGCCTCTGTTGCAGAAATGGCAATTCAGACCTGTCTCCCAATATGCTCCTGGCCAACATTTTAGAAGCTGATGAGAAGACCTGAATTCACTAGTTATGTTTATGTGGTTGTGTTAACATTAGTAAATAAGCCCACAGAATACCTTACAAAGATATACTTCTTTACGCTCTTCTTTCAGAACATTTAGATATTTTAAATTCTGTACTGTAAAATTAAAATGTTCTGAAATTTCTATGTCTATTTATGAGGTTCCTGTCAATAAAGTAACTAAAAGATTTATCTGGTAGATTTGATGTTTAAAACCTTGTTAACATCTCTATCGGTAGAAAAATAGTGAGCAAATTCATCAACTGTGCTGAAATTTTTATTCCTTTCCTCTAAGGTTTGGCTGATCATAATTAATAAATAAAAGAAAATGTATTTGCATTTCCCTAAGCTTGATATAGTATATTGGAGATTAAGGCTCAGTAAACACGTTCTTTACCTAATCAAGACTGAAATACAATTTAGCATACTTCATGATACTGCTTAGAAACAGTAATATCCTTGCATCATATAATACTTCTACGCACATCATTCCTGGAGATAGCTTCACCACTGATTTTAAACAAGGCACTTCTGAAAAAACTATAAATGTGGGGTTAATATTGATCGCTCTGATTCAGAAATTGTTAAATTGTTTTCTCTCTCCTCTAAAGACTCCTCTGATCATGCTATGTTCCTTTCCCCTATTCCATATACCCCTGGGGCATATCCCAATGGCCATCTACAGTCCTACCCTGAGGAGGTGGGTGGTTCTGGGAGGATCGTGAGGGTGGGATAGCCAGAGTCCCATTCCCCGTGGCTATGGGCTACTAGTCTGGTTTTGGGTTTTTTGTTTTGTTTTGTTTTTTAGATTGGAACCCTCTTGACCTTCAGGAAAAAGCTTCTGTCTCTCACCCATATCCCGAGCCCTGTTTTGTGGAAGGAAGAGGGCACTCTACCTGAGTAACTGCTCCTGAGGCTTCACATAGGGTGCCGCATTCACCTTCATGGTACGCTTCCTTACAGTCCCGGCAGAAGACGAACTGCGGAAGAACACACACGTGTTAGGGATGGGCTTGTTGGCTGCATTTGGACCTAGCATGCTTTTCCTTTTCCACGCTCGCTACAGTCGTTCCTCTGACTTGTGTGATGGGTTCTGTGCCAAATTACTTTTTGCAAAGAAAAATAAAGTTATATTTTGATGGTATTGTTCCCTCTTTACTAAATAATGTTCCAAGCCCTATAGCAGGGTTTCAAAGATGCACGAGTCTTATTTCCTATCTTTATGATGTTTCCAGTCTGGCAGAAGAGAAAATAATGTAAACAAATACCTGTCGTTGAGTGGTACTGGTGTTAGGATATGAGGAAATCAACTTTATTCAAGAATTTCCTATCCAAATTCTTAATCGCAGGAATCAAACTGAGGGTTGTTGGAGTGGGGGGTAGGGTGGGAGGGATGGGGTGACTGGGTGATAGACACTGGGGAGGGTATGTGCTCTGGTAAGTGCTGTGAATTGTGCAAGACTGTTGAATCTCAGATCTGTAACTCTGAAACAAATAATGCAATATATGTTAAGAGAAAAAAAAGAAGAAGATAGAAGGAGGGGAAGAATGAAGGGGGGGAAATCGGAGGGGGAGACAAACCATGAGAGACGATAGACTCTGAAAAACAAACTGAGGGTTCTAGAGGGGAGGGGGGTGGGAGGATGGGTTAGCCTGGTGGTGGGTATTGAGGAGGGCACATTCTGCATGGAGCACTGGGTGTTGTGCACAAACAATGAGTCATGGAACACGACATCTAAAGCTAATGATGTAATGTATGGGGATTAACGTAAGAATAAAAAAAAAAGTGTAAAGTAAAAAAAAAAAAAAAAAAGAATTTCATATCCAAGATCTGTTTACATACACAGAGGATTTATAAGTTCATGTTAGTAGACTTAGTTTTGCATTGAAAGCCTATTACGGAAAGAAGAAATAAATTGTGTCCCCTGCGAATTCATATGGTGAAATTTGACCCCCAGTACCTCAGGACGTGATTGCATTTGGAAATAGGGTCTTTGAAGAGGTAAGTATGGTAAAATGAAGTCATGAGAGTCAGCCCCAATCCTGCGTGACTGGTGTCTTTATGAAGAGGAGATTAGGACACAGACACACGTGGACTGAGAGATGACCATGGGGGGACACAGCAAGAAGGCGGCCATCTGCAAGTCAGGAGAGAGGCTTCAGTGGACCCAACCCTGCTGACACCTTGTTCCTGGGCTTTTAGCTTGTGGGAGTGTGAGAAAATAACTGTTGTTGTGGAGCTCCCCAGTCTGTGGTCCTTTGTTATGGCAGGCACGGGTAGCTGATACGCGGCCTGGAGCGGATCTGCTCACCTGGGCATGGTGCCCCTTTCATCATGCACACACCACAGAATGGGAGAGACCTGGGGAGCAACTCACTGCTCTCCACCCTCCACCTTCAGGGAAGGAAGCCACAAAGTGAGTGCTGGAAAAAGAAGCTGTCCTCCCACCGTCGGGAATCTGGAGGCCCCTCTCGAATGACCCCATGGCCACCAGACATGCTCCAGAGTGTGGCTAAGGGTGTGGGCCCTGCAGTCGGACACATGGGATTGAAGTCATCAATCCGTCACCTGCCCACCGACACCCTCCGGGAAGCCTGTGCCTCAGCTCTGTGCCCTTTGAGAAGCCGGGGTAATAACAATAACCATCTCATCGGATCCGTGTACACGGCGGGTGAGCTAGTCCACGTCCGCTGACACACTACACGTTCTGAACATCAAGCAGATAACAGCCAGGGACTGTTTCCTCCCCTCCCCTCCCGTTTCTCAGCTGAGGAAGGAGTTGCTTTACCAGAAAACAGGCTCCCTTCCAGGAACATTCTCTAACTCCCTGGGGAGAAACAGGTCTCACTGTAGAAACTGTATTCGGAGAAGATGCTCTGGCAGAGGAGAGCATGATCAGGGAGTACGGAGTGTGGGCAGTGGGTGGTTTTCTAACATTGGCCCAGAACGAGCTGGTACTCTTCCCATGGAGAGGCAGGTTCAGGTCTCTTCTGCTTAAATATGCATGCGTTCGCTACTTGGCCAATAGCCCGCGGCGGAGGTGATGGCATGCTGCGTTCTGGGCCCAGGCCTGAGGAAACGGGCAGCCTCCGTGCTGCCAGTGTTCCCGAGAGGCTGGTGTGCAGAGGAACCCAAGCTGCGGGCCGGCAGGCAGCCGGCACCAACCTGCCCGCCGGGCGTCTGAGCCGTATTTCCAGGGGCTCTTCCAGCCCCTGGATGAGTTGCCCCAGCTGATCCCAGGTGGAACAGAGACAAGCTGTCTTTATAGGACCCTGCCCCAATTACGGCCTTGTCAGAAAAAAAAAAAGAGAGCAAGGCAAAACAGGAACAAGACTGTTGTTGTTTTAAATCACTAAGTTTTGGGGTGTTTTTTACACAGCCATCGATAATGGATAGAGTAATGGCAGTGAGAATCCGGAAGACTCAGAAAAGTTGCAGAGGCTTGAAGTTCTCAAATGAATATTCCTTAGCACAAGCCAGTTTTGCTTCAGGTAAGACTGGTTTGAACTGATAAACAAACCCCCAGACAAACAGGGTACAGAAAAGTCCAGCTTTATCCCCCAATACATCACCACCCTTCCTTGCCTCCAAAAGAACAGCCCGTCCGAGGCCGTTTTCCTTCATGCTGTCTTCACCACAGAAACAGAACTCCCTCCTTCCCTGTGTCCAGTTTCTTGTTTCAACAGCTCGTCTGAAAACTGTCTTAATCGCTGAGCATATTAAACAAGAAAGGCAAGGATTTGATAAGGAAAAGGCCTCTACAGATAAGAGGCAGTCTACCTTCTAGCCATTATTTTTAGAGTGTTGTAGTCTTATTTCTTCTCACAGCACAGAGACTGGTCCCCATTTTATGGGATATAAACTTTATTTAAAGATTCAGGTTGGTGGGAGATGGGCGTGTCAGGTTGTCTTTACACAATCTGCCAACACCACCAGGCTTTAATTTCTGGCATTTTTTATTTTCCCTGAGCTGAAACCTAATCCAGTGAACAGAGGATGAAGTGGATCTTAGGGCTTCCTCTTAAGATGAAAAACAGTTTTTTTTTTTTTAATTAATGTGTCCACTCATCTTTGGATCTGCCCCAGAGCCATCGCTTTGCGCTCATGCACTACATTCGAAAAATGCAGCCCGGACGGTTCAATCATTGAGAGGCGCTCACTGTGTGATTTCGCCCCAGCGCCTTCCAAGGAAGCAAGCCTGATCTCTCAGCGTGACAGGGAAGACGCTCCACATCTTATTAGCTAGTGGATGAGATATAAAATCAGTTTCATGGTAGATGAACACCCTGGAGGTTGATCAGTTTGTCAGAATAAATAGGCCTTTCCTGACACAAAGACATTAAATCCCTTTCACACTGGGACTACGAAGAATGGACTAAAAACATAACAGGAAAGGAAGAGCGCACGAAGATGAAGGCCTCCCCGTTTCAGCATGGCAAGAGGCAAGCAAAAGCTGCAAGAATCTGCTGGTGATAATTTCACATTAGTGTACTTGTTCATTTGCTTCCATTCAGAGAGTGGAACTTAAAAGTAGAGATATCATGCAGCGGGCTTCCTAGTTAAATAACTTGCATCTTTCTCATACAAAATGGGGAAATACCTAGAAGGTCTGATCTTGAAAATGTTCGGGTGTTTTGTTTTGTTTTAAAGTGGGGGAGAGATAGAAGGAGAGGGAGAGAGAGAGAGAAAGACTCTTAAGCAGGCTCCACGCCCAGTGTGTGGGCCCCAGGCAGGGCTTGATCTCATGACCCTGAGATCATGACCTGAGCCGAAATCAAGAGTCAGATGCTTAACCGCCTAAGCCATCCAGGTGCCCCCAAAATGTTCAGGTTTTTAATTATGTTATTCAGAATTCAACCAGGTGATTGTACAAATGCTTAGGCCCTTTAGTTCCCAAACTGTGCACTGAGGCACTCTGGGGTGCCACAACAAGCTCATGGGGGTGTAATGGGATATTTTAAATTTTTGAAGAGGACACAGTGATACTGTTGTTCACTGTGTGAATTACTAACTCAAGGCGGTTCATGGTGTTACTGTGGATTGTGCTTCTCTTCTTCTGATGACATATCTTTGCAGAGCGGGGTTTTTGGTTACTGTGATAGAAAAACAACTACCATGTGAGCATCTGTCTGCAACAGGAGATGTAGTTATTTAAGAATGAAATAAAAATATTTTTTCTTGGGTCGCCTGGGTGGCTCAGTCGTTAAGCATCTGCCTTCGGCTTAGGTCATGATCCCAGGGTCCTGGGATCAAATCCCATATTGGGCTCCCTGCTCGGCAAGAAGCCTGCTTCTCCCTCTCCCACTCCCCCTGCTTGTGTTCCTGCTCTCGCTCTCTCTCTCTCTGTCAAATAAATAAATAAAATCTTAAAAAAATATATATATATATTTTCTTTTGATTTATGTGAACTGTCTTTTCAAATGACTATTGTGTTGCTAAGACATTAATTCTTATTTATCTTACTTGGACCTGAGTATTTAACAAACAAAACTGTTTGGACCTAAGTATTTGATAAACAAAACTGCATTTCCTCTGGTTTAGGAGCACCATGAAACACTTACTGAGTTGCTAGGGGCAGGGCGGACAGAGTAAGGCTGGGAAACTCTGGCTTAGGCATACACAAAACTCCTTGAGGTAACGTTTTGGGCCAGTTTTCAAACGGTCAGTGGCACAGATATTTCCAGAGAAAGAGCTTGAGAAGATAGATCCGGCTTCCACGTTTTCATATTTGGGGTGCTGATCTTGCCTGTCTCTCATCTGGGGCACATGGATCTTGTTCTAACCCATAATGCAGAAGGCTGCAATTTACCTGGGACTTGCTATGAACTAACTGTGGTCTCACATTTGCTAAAGTCACCTTAGGAGTAAATTCTAGTTGAAAGGAAGGGACTACCAAACATTTATGCAGTATACTTTTCCCGGATTGTTTTCTCTTGAGATAGATCTGATAAATGCCACCAATTTCTGTAGTTAACTTTA